CACCGGAAACGGAGGTGGGAGCGGCGAGCGAGTGGGTAGATTCCCCGCAAGTATGCTTAAACTCTTGTTTTCGTTCGCGGTAGTTCGTTGTGTTGCTTCATCTTGCTGTAGCCTTCGCGCAGCTTGCCCAGGTTGCCTCAGTGTCTGTTTCGGCTTGCTTCAGCGCTTGCTGCGGCTTGTTGGAGCACGCAGCTGCCCATCGTCGAAATCGACGGGGGAATTGTCGTCGTGTGTCGTAGCCCTACGTAAGGAGATTGGCGTGGCAGACCTTGGCCGCTGTGAGGCGGGTGAGCACGCGATGAAGACGCGTCTGCTGTGACTCCCTTGACCACTTGTTGCCCCAGGCTATGGTGATAAGCTATAACTAGTTGTAAAGACATACCTGTAGGTTAGGGTGAAGGTATGACGAAGCACAGGAAAGATGGAGGTTGATATAGGCTTAAACGTGATCAGCTTTCAGAAATGCAGCAGAGCGCCGGAGTTCCGCAGTGGAACGAGTAACGGCGTAGAATAAGGTTAATACTGAACTAAGAACTTTTAAACCTTTGAGAGAGAGACAAAATTGAGGTTCCGCACTTACAGAGCTAGTGGAAGTCGAAGACGCGGACCCTCAAAGAGGTGATCGCTTTCTACAAGGAATCGCTGGAGCATCTGGACGACTCGGTGCATGCACCGCATTTTTTCGGCCAGCGGGGTCTTCTCAGAATCAGACAAGGTGTCGATGAAGCCGGTCGGCTTGATAGGTGCATCTGACATGTGAGCAGACAGAATATCAACAACCTAAAAGTGAGAAAGAATCAGTTTGAGAAAGGAAGCCTGTCGAAAGTACGTCGGCAAACTAAAAATGAACTTGTCTACGTTGAGCTTTAAAACATCGACTATTTCTCCTTCGAGTATTTTAGGCCAGTAATGCGTTTTCGATTTATTCGATCGATCAACTTTTCTGATCGCTTGGAAGAAGGGGCAAGAGCCACTTATGCAATCACCACTCAGTGCCTTTAAGAAAACAACCTGAGATTTGTTCAGTAGAATAATTACGTGCCAGGTATCTCACTTATTGGGTACTTGGTCCCGCAAGGCCACACGTCTCAAATGAATCAAAGTTTCCGCAAAACTGATTTGAAGAGCCCCTCTAGATATCTATCCCCGCCGCCCAACTGCTTAACGTATTTTGCGGTCAAACATTTAATTCTTGGCGAGTGAGCTTAAATTAATGTGTAAGTGGGGCCGAAGTGATTAAAAAATATTAAATTAAATAAGACTGTTTGTTTTAATATGCTAAAATAGAATAAAATTTGATTAACATGAACTTCTGTTGCGCAGGCTACGAATGCCAATTAGGGGAATTTAACGAAAATGGAAATTCGTCCTCCTATTGGTGAAATTTAACGAAGAAATTCAAGGTCGAGGTACTGAACATGTAAAAGTAGTTTTCATTATAATTCAACGGGATTTTTGGGTCCTTTATAATTAGTCCTGTCGAAGTAACTACGCACTGACACGTGCAGCTGTGTCGAGACAATGTTTCCTTACCCTTACTTAAATCCTGAAACTACACGTTTACACGTGGTGCATTATACGAAAATGAAAAGGAGAGTGTTTAGATAGAAAAAAGAGGTGATCATTTCACAACAAACAGAACAAAATCAAAAGTATTCAAAGGGGGGCGTAAATCTGTCAGCAAGAATCCTAACAACAACGAAAGGAAATGCTCTTTTTTAAAGTCTGAAATACCCCCCTCACAAGCCTAAAACTCATTTTAGCGACAGCGAACCTTGAAGGAGAACAGTGCTGTGTTGTCCGAAGCAATATTATAGAAGCTCCAAAAACATGGGAATCGAATTACAAACCACTCTCTGTGGACCCATCCAATACATAAATCATTTATTGATATTTTTAAAGCATCTATTTACTGAGACCACCTGTCCCTAGCCGTCATGCGTACCCTGGACAGAGGGCACATCTTCATTGTCTGCCATTTAAAAAAAGAGACCGACAGCACCTCGAAACCTTCCGCTCAGCAAAGTCATACATCAACCGGCATATGGAGTTAGATGCCACGTACAAAATTCTTAGGCAGAAATGAGATCAGAAACGTGGCAACAGCCTACTGGTGCAATCGTCGCACCGATATTGACTTTTCATTCGCACCCACGAGGTTAACTGTTTCGACGCATTTACTTTACCCTGCATTAGACGAAGACGACGACCTGGTAAAACGGCGTCAAAAATTTACACAATAAAGTCCGCGGGTTCGAAACTCGAGTGTAGCGGCAGTTTCTGTGGCTATACTGGAGTTGGGTTGGTGCTGCCGATGACGGCCAACAAGCCAGAAATACGCGTATTCAGCACTCCCTAACGTTTGCCGGTAATACATTGGTTACAATAAAGTCCCTCAATGAACGGTTCCTATATGTACACTCAAATAAATTACGCAGCCATACACATACCTGCTTATGGCTTGCAGCCAGAGGAACGAAACATTTCTTTAGGAATTCCTGGTTGATCTGCCGTTGCTGGGGCAGAAGTTTGTGGTCAAGGTTGGTGTACAGGGTCTGGAGCATATCGATGCCGATCTGTGCCACACGGTCGTCTGCCACAAACACCAGATGCCAAAGGTAATCCATGCCCACCAGGTCGAAGTCACACAGTAACAGCTGGGAGGCTTTGTTTGGATAGTTCAGCAGTGCGATCCGATGCAGCTTATCGTTCACATAGTAGAAGTAGCGGCGAAACAAACTGGGGAGGGAAGTAGTGAAAGAAATGGCATTAGCAGCATCCTTGACTTGATGATGATGATGATGATGATGATGATGATGATGATGATGATGATGATG